CCTTTGCCTTGAACTTGACTTCGTCGACGCGGTGGCGAATCGCCGTGAGCACGCGCGAGCTGTCTTCAATCATCTGCGCCGACGGCGGGTCCTTGAAGCGGAAGCCCGACTGCATGAGGATGCCATACCGGTCCTTGCACGCGCGGGCCGAGAACTGCTTGTCGACGTAGGCGCAGAGGGCGGTGCGGATATGCTCCCACTTCTCGGCGACGCTGCCATGCACCGCGTTGTACGGCTCGTACTTGAGCACGAGCCGGAGGAGCTCCATGTCCTCCTCATAGTTGAATTTGAACCGTTTTTTGCCTTCTTCGGCCCCTTCTTTCGCCCCGGACGCCATGGCCGCCAACCGTCAAATTGCCGAATTCACGGTAATTTGCCTTCGTCCTCGTGGGTACCTTCTTTTGTCACAAAAGCGTCTTCACTGCACCCTTTTATGGTGAAACGCGAGGCGCTTTTCGATGGCACTGAAAGCACCCAACAAAGCGTCTTGCAGCATAGACGAGCGACGACAGGCATGCAGACCAATATGATATGAGGGTGCAACAGAGCCATGGTTCGATTTGAGACGCTAGACGGAACATACACACTGCTACATTTGAATCGTGCGACCGGTACACGATGCGATTGCCGCTGCTTGCGGCGGCAAGTGGCGTGTTTTTAGCGTGTTGACGCCGTGGTGGGCTGAATTGGAACCTGCGCTGGACGACACCCCTTTTTGTCTTTCGCACCTGGATTTGGCAGCATTACCGTAATTATACTGTGAGGGCCAAAGCAACGATGGACGAAGCCGAGTTTAGCCGCTTGCTGGGGCAGTTCCCTGTCGTCCGCCAGAGCACCTACTGCCGCGTGGCATGGAAGACCGACGTAGGTCGCTCGTTGCTCTGCATGGCGCTCATGCTGCTCTAGGCCACGCCGCGCTCGACGATCACGCAAGAAGAGACCGATGGTAGTACGTGCGAACGCGCTTCACTTTGCTCACGCTGCTTTTTTGCGTCTTAGCGCCGTCCAAGAAGATGAAGACCGACGTGAGCCTCTCGACGGCCATCGAGACGTACATGCAAGAGTACTTTACGCCCGCCGAGGCCACGCGGATCCGCATTGCGTTCGAGAAGGCGCATGCCGACTTGGTCGACCAGCTCTGCCTCGAAGACGTCGAGGACATGTGCCACCAGTTTCAATAAGCGCCGTCAACAGCGCCGTCAACATGCAAGCCATGTAGTGTATCTCTTCTTGTTGAAACGGCCATGCAGCGACGCGTTGTGCTGGGGCTGCTCCTACTGGCGCTCGTGCGTGCGCAGACGCCGTCGTCGTCGTCGTCGTCGACGCCGCTCATCGTCGGTCCTGGTCTCTTTGGTCTAATACTCGTCTTTCTCTTCCTCTGCGGGTACTCGTCGGCGCATCGCTGGTACGACTATCGTCGCCTCCGAGGCATTCGACGGCCCACGCATACCCTATGCTAGCGGCCTCTTCGTGCTGATTGCCTCCATTATCGCATCGACCGTCGTCTTCTTCCTCACAGTCAAGGTCACGGCGCCAGGCCAAGCGAGTGTGCACCGCCAGGTCTTGCGCCGCCATGGCCTGTCGCGAGAACGACTAACTAATGATGTGTGTAGGAGTACAACAACAAGGGCGTGACGAGAGCGTTTGTGCGCGCCGTCTTGATCGCGTCGGCCGTCGTCGCGCTGCTCTCCGTTTTTCTGACGCACGTCGTCTCGCCGCGCCACGTAATTTTAGTCGACTGCCTCGAGGCGCGTTGATGGCACGAGGTAGGCGCGACGGCTTGGCGAGTGGCTTCCCCAGCGCGCTCGGCCCCGTCAGTTCTGACAGGCACCTCAGTTCTGATAGCCATCTCGGTTCTGGTCGCAACCTCACACCTCAATTCTTATATAACGTTAGTTGCCACCAGGTTCTAGTAGCCACCTCGGTTCTAATAGCAGATGAAGTTCTGACAGCAACCTCAGTTCTAAGAGCAAGCACAGTTCAGGTACCAACGTCGCCATGAGGATAGATTGTGGTGCTTGCTGCCATCATGCCATATTTGACGACCAGCGTAGCTCACGACCCTGCTCTAAGCCTGTCACCTGGACGTGGGAAGCCGAGTGAGTCGCTTGTGCCGGTGTGGCGAGCGATGCGCTTGTCCGTTAGAGACCTGTTGGTAGAGCATAGCATTGGTACAGAGGAAGAACGGGAACAACACTCCTGCTAGTAGGATGTTGGTGTATATTGTCTAACTTGTTTACGCCGACATCTTCTTCAACGCGTCCTGCACCTGGACTTCGGCCGAGAGGTACCCACGCTTGTCGTAGTTGGTGTAGTAGCCCATCTTCTTCGGCGGCGGGCGCGCGTTCTGCGGCAACACGTCAAACTTGTGCGGCTTGAGGAGCGCGCGCAGGCCGAGACGGTTGTAGTAGACCGACTTGATCGAGCCGCCAGCCTTCTCGATGGCCTCAATAGCGCCTTCCGACGCCTGCGTGATCTCAATGTTGATCGGCGTCGTCAAGTGCTGCTTGCCCTAATGACAGTACGATGATGATGAGCCATGGATCGCTCGCATGCACGAAACAGCGTACGCTGGCAAGGAGCTTCACGCCGTGCTTGATGCGCGACGTCGTCAAGAGACCGCAGTCCGTCAACGTCTTGAGCGTGATCGTCTGCGTCGGGTCGATGCGGCCCATGTCAATGAACAACTGGAGGCGGTCGACGTTCAGCGGGTGCATCGGCGTCGCCCACTTGTTGTTGAAGCCACGCTTGGGCACACGCTGGTGCAGCGGCGTCTGACCACCTTCGAAACCAAGCGCAGGGCCCGAGCGACCCGAGCGGGCCTTCTGGCCCTTGTGGCCGCGGCCACAGGTCTTGCCCTTGCCCGAGCCGATACCACGACCGAGACGCTTGCCGCGCTTGTGGGCGCCAGCATTATCGGCCAAGTTGTTCAAGCGGATGGGCTCAAACACAGCCATCGGCGCGGCCTGCGTGGACATCGGGCGGAGCGTCATGCGCCCAAGGGCCTGGCGGAGCGCGAACATGCTGCGACTGCTGCTGGACAAGCGATAAGATGACTGGTCTCGAAAACCTTGCTGCCATCGGTAATATTCCAGAGGTTTATCACCTTCCACAGGTATTTCCGGATACGCTGCGTTTCCGGACGGCCCATCGGCTGTCATTGCGGCATGTGCCGAAATGAACGGGCAGCGCCACAACACCTCGTCGCATCGTCGCCGCCTTCTCGTGGATCAACCTATCTACCGCGTTCTAGCAGTATGCACCTAGATGCAGGATACGACCTTACGCTCTCGACACGAGACGACGAGTCGTCAGAATACAGATTGACCGCAGGCTGCGGGATTTTATTCAAAGGGCGGGATTTTAAAATCGGCAATGCCGAATATAACAACCAGGCAAGGCTGCAAGAAGCTGCGTGGTCTGGGATCGATCCCGTAGCCTGCACGCAGCGCCGTACCTCTATCGCTCTGCGCTGTCTTGCTGTCTTGCGCGTGATGAGCAGCCATATAATTTTAGGTGCAATGACGCTGAGATTAGGAAGTGGCACATGCCGCACGCTAAATTTATCGGCGCTGATTGGGCGGTGGTTTTTCCCGGCAATCTTGGTTTTGTGGCAAAATGGACTGGGACCAAGGCGCGGTGACGTCGCTCGCCGGCGGCGCGGGCAGCGCAGGCAGCGCCAGCACCAACTCCAACTACGACTTGACGCGGCGCTGCGTGAGCTTCCTCCGCGGCTTCCGCGAGGACACGACCTTTGTGTACCGGCAGCAGCTCACGTCGCACGTCCGCCGGTCGCACCTCCTCCTCGAGATCGAGCTGCGCGACCTCACGTCGTACGACGCCGAGCTCGGCGACATGCTCTTGACCAAGCCAGCGACGATGCTGCCGCTGCTCGAGACTGCGGCCGCGACCGTCGCGAAAGGCTCGACGAGCCACATCCAGGTCGTGCTCAAGAGCGCGTCGCTCGAATCCCTCCGGCTGCGCGATATCCACGCGACGCAGGTCAACCGCCTCGTCAAAGTGCCAGGCATCATCATCAGCGCGTCCAAAGTCCGCGCCAAGTGCATGTCGGTGATGGTCCAATGCAAGACGTGCGGCCACACGAAGAAGCTGCCTTGCCCCAACGCGTTCTCGGGCGTCCAGCTGCCGCGGAGCTGCGAGCGCCAAGCCGAGAACCAAGGCGAAGGCGCATTGCAGAGCGATGCGTGCGCCAAAGACTCGTACATCATCGTGCCCGACAAGTGCGAGTACGTCGACCAGCAGACGCTCAAGCTGCAGGAGAGCCCCGAGGTCGTGCCGACCGGCGAGATGCCTCGGAACCTCCTCCTCTCGTGCGACCGGTACCTCGTCGACCGCGCGCCGCCAGGCACACGCGTCTCGATCCTCGGCATCTCTAGCGTCTTCAACTCGGGCGCCAAGCGCCAGGTCGGCGCGATTGCGATCCGCACGCCGTACTTGAAGGTCGTGGGCATCGAGGTATGGTCTCTCTCTACGTACGAGGCATCCATTTCTCTTGGTTAGATTGACGAAGAGGGCGCAGGCCGCGCCCGCGCGGTCTTTACGCCCAGCGAAGAAGAAAAATTTCACGAAATGGCACGCGACCCAGACCTCTACGAGAAGCTCGCGACGAGCATTGCACCGTCGATTTACGGTGACTACACGGTCAACATCAAGAAAGCCATCGCGTGTCTTCTCGTCGGCGGCTCCCGCAAGCGCCTTCCCGATGGCATGATCGTACGTCATTTTCTTGTCTTTTCTTGTCTTTTCTTGTCTTTTCTTGGATTTTCTTTGATTTTCTTGTCTCTTTCCTGTATTTTCCTGTATTTGCTAGTCTTTAGAGTTTTCACCCAAATGCGATGATGTATGGCCCTCTCGGATGTTCTACTGCTCGATCCATTCTCGATCTTGTGGTCCATAGCACGTGCGGCAAAAGGGTCTTTTGCATCTGATTGGCCTGCTCAATTCTTTCGTTTGCCTCTTGGCGTCTTGCGATTGCAGTTTGGAATCGTGACTTATCGTATATTCCCTAGCTGCGCGGCGACATCAACGTGCTTTTGCTGGGCGATCCGTCGACGGCCAAGTCGCAATTTCTGAAATTCACCGAGAAAGTCGCGCCCGTTGGCGTGTACACGAGCGGGAAGGGCAGCTCGGCGGCCGGTCTCACGGCGTCGGTCATCAAGGACGCAAAAGGCGAGTTCTTTCTCGAGGGCGGTGCGATGGTGCTGGCCGACGGCGGCGTCGTGTGCATTGACGAGTTCGACAAGATGCGCGAGAGCGACCGCGTCGCGATCCACGAAGCCATGGAGCAGCAAACGATTTCGATCGCCAAAGCCGGCATCACCACGATCCTCAACTCGCGGTAGACCTCGAATCTTTCTGCGTTTTTCGATTGAAAATTCCACTAGGGCCTCGGTGCTCGCGGCCGCCAACCCCGTGTTTGGCCGGTACGATGACATGCGCAGCGCGAGTGACAATATTGATCTCATGAGCACCATCTTGTCGCGCTTCGACATGATCTTTATCGTCCGCGACATCCAAGACGATGCGCGCGATCGGCAAATGGCCGCGCACGTCGTCAAAGTGCACACCAACTCGCTCCAGGCGCAGGACGAAAAGCAAGGGGTACGTCATCGCTTTCCGCTTCTTTTATTTGCATTTGTGTTGCATGTTGCTGCTTTTTTTGACAGTGTGGATAGTAGTGTTGAGATTGGATGCGATTTTGATCGGAATTTTTTGTAGGAAATCGAGCCCTGGCTCATGAAGAAGTTCATTACGTACTGCCGCACGCGGTGTGCGCCTCGCCTCGGCATCGAAGCCACGCAGGCACTCCAAGACTTTTACGTGAGCGTTCGCGACGAAGTGCGCACGCAGACGCAAGAGGCGACGATCCCGATCACGGTGCGGCAGCTCGAGGCGCTCGTCCGCATCAGCGAGAGCCTCGCCAAAATGCAGCTCAAGCCGCAAGCGACCGTCGAGCACGTGTACGAGGCGATCCGCATGTTTCGCGTCTCGACGATGAACGCGGCGAAGGACGGCGGCACGCAGGGTATGTTTGGCGGCTTCCACGAGAAAGCGCAGGAGGTCGAGGCTTCGATCCTGCGCACCGTCCAAATCGGCACGCGCGTCGAGACCCACGCACTCTACTCGAAGCTCGAGTCGCAGGTCCGTGGATCGTTGTATTTGTGTGTGTTTCTTGGAGTTGAATGGGTTGGTATGTAGGGCCACAACCCGAACGCGATCCAGCGCGCGATTCGCGGCATGGTGCAAAAGGGCTCGCTCAAGCAAATGAACCAGTTCAAGTACGTCGTCCGTGCGATTTAACTAGTTTTTACGGCGAAATACATACGTTGCTGCATGTTTCGAATCAACACTTGGCGCTTGCAGTCAATACTGTCAACGTGATGCACGGAAAAGATGCCCTTTCTCTCCATCTTCTGCTGGTACTTGACCGCACCACTCTTTACTGCTTTTTTTGCTATTGCACAAACAACACTATGTAATAGAGCTGCGCACGCTCAAGCGTCGTTTCGCCCGCATCATCGCTGGTACGAGTCGCTCGGTGGCCAGCAAATCGAGCCAAGTCGACGGATGCTACTACAACCAACAAGAGCGTTCGCCGAGTGGAATGCTGGTCGTCGCTCGTCAAGACGAAAGGCTGCCTGTTGTGGCGCGATGGGACCTGGCCGTCGCTTTGGCATTTTGAGTCCAGCGTCCAAAAACGCATCGACACATAGGTGGTAACGTCATAGGCGCAGATAAATTAGGAGGCCATCCTAGTCAATCGTCGTACATGTCCACCACGACAGCCGGGCACGCTACTTGATCATCGGCCGGTTGAGTTTTGTACCTGGCTGCACTTACCAACACGCAGTAGCGCTACCAGTTGATACACGGTATACTTCTATATAGCTCGTTGTATTGCCACGTCAGAATCAGAAACGCCTGGTTCTGTCAACACCAAGGTACCTAGCTATAGAGTTTGCATCCGCGCTCCATCGATGTGTATCCGTGCGTTTGAAGTAAGCGAGGACGCGGTACAGTACAGCGAGTGCAGTACGCAGCAATGGACCGTCAAGAAAAGGCCATCCATCCTTCAAGCCACATGCACATCATGGCAGCGCCAGTCAAACATTGCATTCCAGCAGTCTCGCAGCAGCAGCAGATTGTCAAAGACGGAGATGGGTCAGAGCCCTGTCGCGCAGATTCTCTGGCATCTCTGCATGCTGTGCCAGAGCTGTCGCCAGCCACGAGTGCTGTCCACATGCCGTCTGGATGTCTTCGGTTTCAGCCGAAACGGCTGCATCGACGTGGCGCACTGTAACGCAGGGAATCTCGTCGAATCTAGGCTGCCACATTCTTCGTACTTGAATAAACTATACTGCAGAATCTAAAAGATCGTCGGCCCCACCGCGCTCGTCGGCTTAGTTTTGCTTTTCCTGTGTCCTCCACCAGCTCCGTTCCTCCAGCCGCCAACGTATTCTAGTGGCGACAATGAACTCGCCGACCAACAACAAGCTCGACTACGTACGCAACGATTACAAGATGGGCCTCGACATCTCGATTCAAACCATGGACGGCCTCCCCGAAACGATTGCGGCACTGCGCGCCAAGCGCCACGTCCTCGCGACGAAGCGCCAGGGCATCCTCGCGAGCCTTGGGTGCATCCCAGCCGAGGCGCCGCCCGTGCCGAAGCGCCGCAAGCTCGAGTTTGCTCGGCTCTTCACCGACAACGTCGTGCCCGAGCCCAGTGCAGCCTTGTCCTAAGCCCCACATCGGTGGTCGTGTAGAGGTCGGCCACCTGTATAATTACCTCGTGCTATTCTAATTTATTTCATTCCCCCTCTCATTGTGTGTCTTTGGTTGCGATACTATACATTGGCTGGCGGCACCACAATCACCAAGGCGTTCCGACCATGTCCCACACCGAAAGTCCTAATCAGGACATTGCTGCGACATGCAAAGCGGGTGCGGGATGTGGCGATGAGCATTTGTCACACCTTTGCTGCTGCGTGGCGCTGGCGTCGACCTCAGCGAGAGCGCTGGCAACGTACTGCAGTGTACTGGTTTTACGAGTAAGCGCACCGCGGTGGCCTCGCATCGCTGTCGACTCGACATGGGCGCGTTCCACGAACGTGCGGCGGGTCCCCAGGCGTATGTATGTACAGTGTTGTCATGTCGGCGCCAGCAGCGTCAGAAGCAGCGTCAAGTCTGGCGCCCTCCGTCTTGGCAAGCGTCACCGTCGATCGACGAGGTCGCAGCATCTCTGCGGTACATCGTAGATTCCTTGGCGCTATCAACGTTATGCATGCATGGCATCTCGGCACGCGTCCTCCTCGTACTGCGCCTACTCTGGTGCGCGAACGCGGTCCACGAATCTGACCGAGAGGAGTAACAGTTGCTATGGACTCTCGCGTGATGGACGTCGCGGGCTCGTGAAGATTCGAACGAGATTCATGCGCTTACCGATCCGACCTAATAGGGAATCTGCAGACATGTCGGTTTGGTGCCACCTTGCACTGTTGAGGTGGTGTATCGTCAAATTCGTCTCCATTGCTGCAAGCCGTTTCTCGTTGTTCAGGATGGAGTACCTGCCCGCGCTTCGCCGCAAGCGCCCATGGCAGCCCACGAGTCCCGGCGACGTCGTTGCCGAGATCGCACGCCTCAAGGAGCAGCGTCGCCTCATCCAGGCCAAGCGCACCGAGACGCTAGCGAGCCTCGGCTTTACCGATTTGCTCGAGAGCCCGTCCACGACGCTCGTCCCTTTGTTGGCCACCAAAGAGGCGTGTTCTAGTAGCGTTCGCCCAGCGCCCGCGCCCGACGTATTCGTGCAGCCGCGTTGCCCCCGTTGCTAAGACTACAACCGTGAATGTATCATCTCACCCTCTCACCCATGGTGCTCTTGCTGAGCTGTCGGCTCGTTCGCTTTGATACTGTAGTATGCGCAGCTCGTATACGATGAATCGATCCCACGCCGGTGGCGCCGTATTCAAGATTACGAACGCCATTTATCGTTTACTAGGACGGCGGGGTGCGCTTCTCTTGCAGAAAGCTGGTCGAGGTGGTGGCCAACTCGCACCGTGTGATGTGGCTGCTGTGAAGCACCCGCGATAGGAACCAACGCTTGAAGGCAACGTAGTACACTGTCGAGGCCTTTGTCCCTATCGTGGGTATACCGCGGCGGATCCAGCGCGGTTGCCACGTCTCGCTCGCGACGACTTGGTCGTTTGTTGAACGTGCGCGCTCATTTCGGACAAGTCCGAAAGCTGCGCCCTGCGACGTTCACAGAGCCAAGATGTGAAAATGCATGCTTACTCTATATTTGTACTTGCGTTTTGTATGAGCATTCGGCACGCCTCCGTTTGGTCTCGGCCATTACCAACCACGTGCTACATTTGCATATTTTACTCCAAAATAGTCGCCGACATGACGGGGTGCGACACCATGTCGTGGCAGCTGGTGAGGAAAGGGCAGATGGTGAGCACTCGAGGAGGTGGCATGTACCCAGCTTCGCGTCTGCATTCGCTGGCTTGTACGGGGATCACTTTCCAATCTGCCCAATCCATCCATGGACGACACAGGCGTCACCGACACGACGGCCACCGACTGCAACTACGCCTATTCGTGCTGGAAATCCTCCGTCTCCAAGATGAACACTGTCTGCGCCGAGTACCCGCCTCTGTACCCGCGCCTCCAGCTCCACGCCAATATGCCGCCGCAAATGATCGCCGACATCATCATGGACTTGAAACAGCAGCGGCGAGCCGTGGACGAGAAGCGCGCCAGCGTGCTAGGCCATCTCAACATGACCGACGACGAAGACAATGAGGTTGTCCATGCGGACGAGACCAGTGGGCAATTTCTAAAGAAGCGCAAGGCCGAGACCGAGATTGACCGACCGGTCGCCGAGTTCGCTCGCCTCTTTGTCGGCAACGTGGTCCCAGGTCCGATGTGCTCCTAGTCGCCAACGTCTCCTCTTCTTATTTAAGCTCTGTCAAGCACTTTTTCATTCGCCTGCGTCGAGCGTTTGCTGCGGACGGAGAGACACGGCACGATGCGCGACGATGCCGCAGACACAATGCAGCGTGTCCACTCAACGGCGCTTGTAATTCCAGGCGCTCAATAACGGCACGGACTGCATGATGAAAGCAGTACGTGCCGTTATTGCAGTCGCAGGCGAGGTGGCAGGATGAGAAAGCATAGTCGATGGTGTGGACGTCAAGCTGCCAAGCAAGAGGGTATATATGCGTCCCCTTTATCTAATACTTGTACTAGTACTTGGTCGATTTGGGGTTGAGGTGTCCGAGGTGAACGCGGTCACTTCCCTCTTGTTGCTCGCACGCAGCGGTGCAGGAGCACAAGCAACCAGCGCTGGAGGTGTACACGTGGTACTCGTATCCATTCGCACAAAATAGAGATACACGGTGTCTCGGTCGCTACCAGTAGTGTTGGCAGAATGGACCGAGTGCTTTCCTCCTGCTCGACGAACGGCGTGTCTTTTACACTAGTTTGATTGACGCCGTGTTGCAGCATTTTACTTGAAGCACAATATCGAATGCAGTGCATGTAATACAGTAGTGCTCGTACAATTGTAGGTATTCGTCAGGGTTCCGCTTCCCCAACGCTGTGAGGTACCGGTACCACAAAATGGGTGTTGAGAGGCGTCCAGGTGCGTGGACCTCGGCGTGAATCCGCATTCAAGGACGCGGACATCTACACTTCAACAACAACAACGTGGGTTACTGCTGTCTGCGCAGTCCATGGGTTCGTGTCGCCTTGACGACTTGTACATGTCTTCCAGATGCACACGTTGACACTACCTGTCACACGTGGAGAAAGAGCAGAGTACGTGGCACGCCCACATACAAGCGATCAATTGTTTGCTGTCTTGATACTCTTCTTGCAAGGTTGTATTTTGAATTTGTATGGATTTTTATTGCTTCTTTCGTGTTGAGGTCGGACTCAACGCATCGTATCAGACCTTTGCCGAAACGAGCTCGAAGTTCGCCAGACCCGAAGTATTACTTTACAAACATCCAGTGGTTGGCACGCCAGCCATCAACTGGTCTTCTTACCCACATCCGAGCAGATTCGCACGCGCGGGCTGAGAGGAGGAGGCAAGGCCTTGGTCCTCTGGTGATTCTCGTATTCGACGACGCAGTGCACCTCCTTGGTCGACACCGTGGACGAGACCCTCGTCGGCGGCTGTGAGTAATTAAATAAAAAGCCTTGCCCAATGTATACTCGTCCAAAAAAGCGAGCGGCCAGGTTTCCCCAGATTCGGTGCCGGACCTACGACGGATGCAACATTTGCGCAGATTCGCTAGCATAGTGGAACCGAGATGTGCAAATGGGGCGAGACGCAGACAGGCTCCATACTCTAGCGGCAACGTATGCATTCATTTCCCATTCCGTGAAGCCAAGGCAGTCGCTTCCACAGCCTGTCGCTCCACACCACTTTCGCTTTTCAACGACTAGGAAGAAGGAGAGGAACTAATGAGCCGTGGCCTCCTCCAGCACATGCCGACGCTGTTTCCGTCGCCGCCGTCGCCGCTCTCGATCGACCTCGCCTGCCAGGACATTGTCAGCGTCATGCAAGGCCTCAAGCGCCAGCGCGCCGCGCTCCAAACCAAGCGTGCCCAGATTCTCATGAAGGAGCAGGAGGCGGCGACACCACTCGAAGTCCTTCCGCGCCTCTCGGCCGTACACGTCGAGCCCAAGAAGCGCAAGGCCGAGGCCGAGCTCCCGACAGCACCCAACGACAAGCTCGCCCGCCGCTACGTCAGCCGCATGCCCATGCATGTCTAGGCGCGTCGTGGCTTTGTTGTGTGTCGTGTACTATGTAGAGAAAACCATTTCTACGAAGAGGACGAGATTTCACTGCATCGTCGAACGAGGCCTTAATTTAACAAGCTTGCGTGTTTTCTGCCACTTTTGCGTTGGAGCTACAGACCACGGCCGTGCTCTGCGAAAGCAATCGTCCTACCCTCGAACGCCTTCCAAAACCGGGGAATTCGGGAACGCTTTGAGTGCAAGCCAAGCGAATCTGCTCGGTGCGTTGACAATGCTTGATCAGAGCACGGCTGGTGCAGCTAGTACCGTGTAAATGTGGCCACGAACCCACGGCACACCACACGCAGCCGGTGGTTGACGCCAATCTCAGACCTCCACTGTGTGACGCAGTTGGCGCCAATCTGCACGTCACCACCGAGCTGTATGCGGTTTGAATCTCGGTCGGCACGACTGGTCGAGGGAAGATCTCGGATCGAACGATGCAATCAATGCGACGTCCGAGCCCCCGCACGGTCGACGGCAGCGCTGGCAGATGATGGGGCAGATATCACTGACGCGCGACGAGCTGCGGTGGCGCGACCACATTCGAGAGCATACTTTCTTTCAATGACATGGAATCTAGCTCCAATGGCCCGCGACGTCAACGGGCCGTCATAAAATGATATTTTGAATTGTGGCTTACAAATTACAAGCTACGAACTCGAAGTTTGTATGGTATTAAAATATTCTTGACGCGACGCAGCTGGGCAGTGGCGTCTGTCTCGTTGGCTTCGAACGAACGAACGCAGTGAAGGACGCACGCGACACCACTGCTCGCTTCGCGCACACGCCGACTGTCAGATTCCAATCGAATGAAGTAGCTTTTCGCTCTCTCACCTCTACGGTTGCTCCGAAACCCGTCATCGGTTCGGTGCGCGGGCACTCGCGTCAGTGTCCGACGTCGATCACGGGCCAGTGAGTCCAACGTGCTTCCTGCGCCCATCAGCTTGGGCGTTGGTGCGGGGAAAGGCTGCATTGGCCGTCCGTGTCCTGTTTCAGTGCAGCCGTGCCAGATTCGTTTGATATGTGAAACGAATCTGGCACAATGCCACCCTGGACCGAGAAGCGAAAAGGACATGGTGGGGATGTTTTGTGGTCGTCGACGTCGGTCAGAACGCGATTTTCACCATTTCAAGAGCATGTCCAGCGTCGAAGCCCAGTTTGTGACCTCGTACGAGTGCCGCCTCCCGATCGACCTCAGCTTTGGCGAGATCCAAAACGCCATCTCGCTCCTCAAGGGCCGGCGCGCGTACCTCCAGGAGCGCCACGGACAGATCGCGACTGCGTTTGCCGCCGACGACCTCCCGAGTCCCCACAGCGAGAGCAGCACGTCGCCCCCCAAGACGTACGAATTTGCCCGTCTTTTTCACGGTAATATCGTGCCACAGTGCTAAAACACCTATCTATTTCCGTGCTATCTGTAATACTGCCGTCCAATATACATGAAAAGATGGATGTTGATTGCCTTGTCTACGGGTACACTGACTACCACGCTGCTCATGCGATGTCGTTGGCGCCAGGAGCCGAGATTCATGCCGATCCAACGTCTTCAAATGCCTTGGATCCCAAGCAAAAGGTCGCCATGGCCAATCACAGCGCGCCGCCGAGATTCGCTCCGGGTTTCTCTCCGGGATTATGGCTTTGACCTTTCTTGTCACACTCTTCAATTTTGCCCCGAGACTGAAAAAAGCCCGGAAATGGCGTCGGCGCCGGTCCTCACACTTCCGAAAGACCTCACGGCAGACGTCCCGTCGTCCGACATTTGCCAAGCCTTTGAGAGCCTGAAGCGGCAACACGCTGCGATCCACGACAAGCGCCTCCAGCTCTCGCGGAGCCTCGAGGCCGACCACGCCAACGACGACCGCGCCCGGCGGCCCAGCGACGAGTACAACGAGCTCTTCGAGGGCAGTGGCGGCGGCGCCTCCAATTCGTAGACAGAGGCAGTGCGCTCATCTATTTAATATACCGTCCGCCGTGCGGACCTATTGTCGTCGTCGTCGTCGTCCTTGCGCTGCTCTGAACAACCAAATCGAAGACTGAGGACCTGGTCGTGACGTGCCTCCAATGCGTGCAGCCGCGCGGCTTGAAGTACCCCTGGACCAGATAGCCGCATGGTCACGATCAATGGAATAGGTCGTTGAACCCAGAAGAGATGCGGGCGTCATCCTTTTGAAAGAAGACCCCAGATATTATGGAGTGGGTCAGTTTACAATTGACGCCATGACGTACACGTCGCTTGCGCTGCCGACCTCGATCGACGACCTCGGGCTTGTCATTGCGACCCTCAAGCAACAGCGCATGCACTTGGATGAACGCCGAAACCGCGTTGCCCAAAGCGTTCTTGAGCCTCCGACATCCAAGGCCCACGACGAGTTTGCTCGCCTCTTTGCCGACAACCGCATCCCGACGCCGCGGCGCAATAGCTCTGTATCAAGTCGATAGTGTACACCGTGTTGCGAGCATGTGTACCATAAGAGTAAAGTGTTGTCAGTGCGCTTTGCCACACGACCGAGTCCACCGAGTGCGAGCGCCGCAAGACGAAGCGAGCACGAAGACCTGGCAAGGGCATGTCTTGTCCGACAGGCCATCGAGAAGAGGAATGTATCGCAGCGCATCCCACGATAAAGATTGCTTCCCAGTGCAGTGGTGGTATCATGTACCCAAGCTGCGAGACTGCATCCATATGAAGACCCTAGTTACTAGTAATCTAGTAGGCGTCCGGTGGCGCCCTAATCGGGGGCAGAAAAAACAAGAATGTGGATGGCTACGAGCTCGAGACTTGGTGGCTGTTGTGCCAAGCACGGCACCGATTACACCGCGTAGCTACTCTTTCCCATCGACTGTCGACCACGTCTCTGGGCGTCGACGGCCACGTACACACATAGACCGGACGGCAGAAGCTGCGTTCTTTTTTCAAGGACACCACGTTGAGCCACGTTGCAGAACCGTTATTCCGCTGTTACCTATCAGGCCTGTCCACGGGAATTCACTTGTTGTGGCCGGAGAGTAAGGGTTATTGTCTTCCCTTGCCGGCGGCGAGTGTGGTGCACCATTCGTGGGGCAAGCTCGACAAGAGTGAGGCGTATGGTCGTCAAGTGGGATGCACCGCACCCGTAAGCAATCTGTATAACGATACCGATAGCTCCTTCTCGTCTGTCCACGCACCTGCACCTGCAGCGTGCGACGTAGCCATGCAGCTAGGCTGCTAGCTTCGCGAGCGCACTTACCCAAAAGCTTTGCTTTTCATGGCCCCAATTTCAAGAAGCTTCACTCGGATCGGCACTGCCGGTGAGCCAGCGACGCGCCTCGCTACCGCAGCACCGAGGTGGTGACCATCGCACCGGCAGCCGCCTTGCAGACTGCGTGCAGAGCAAGGTGCCCCCGTGTTGCATTGCACGATTGCAGCTTTCGACGAAGCATCAAGGCATGACGCTTCGCGCCCATGCATGGCCAAGCGCACAACGAGTTCGCGCGCCGATGCATATCACAGCACAACCTGGCTGCTTGACCGGCGCGACGGCCCACCTTGCACCTTGCCGTGACCAGCATGCGAATATGCAATGTGAGAGGTTTTTAGAGATGCATTCTCACAGTATTGGTCGCGCCATACGATGTGATTGGCCGAGGTAAACCATTGGTCCAAGCCTGTTTCGCGTCTCTCTTGATTAAAGTATGCACTTTGCCCTTCAGTAAAGTCCCATGGATGGTACAATGCCAACATTTTATTGTGTACAAGATATTTGTATGTGGGCACGTGAAAGACGAATAAAAACACGTTTGATGGCGGCCGCTTTTGGTTGGTGGAGGAGGTGCTATCGACGGCTACGCGCTCTGGGGTGCCATTATTACTTCTTTTGCAGGGTTTAATAACATGGTGTCTCTGAAGCTTCAGAAGCGGTACGAAGATGCTCCTGCGCTGCGTTGGCTGGAGGCTTATGCGGCATGCTACGTAGTTTGGCCGCGTCGGTCCTCAAGTGCGGCAAGCGCAAGGTCTGGCTCGACCCCAACGAGTCGACGGAAATCGCGCTCGCCAACTCGCGCCAGAACATCCGCAAGCTCGTCAAGGATGGCTTTGTCATCCGCAAGCCGCAGGTCATCCACTCGCGCGCGCGCTTCACCAAGCGCAACGAGGCCAAGCGCAAGGGCCGCCACACCGGTATCGGTAAGCGCCGCGGTACGGCCAACGCCCGTTTGCCGTTCAAGGTCATCTGGATGCGCCGCATGCGTGTGCTCCGCCGTCTCCTTCGCAAGTACCGTGATGCCAAGAAGATTGACCGCCACATGTACCACGACCTGTACATGCGCGCCAAGGGTAACCAGTTCAAGAACAAGCGCGTCTTGATGGAGGTCATCCACAAGCTCAAGTCGGAGCACATCCGCGAGAAGGCCCTCAAGGACCAGTCGGAAGCCCGCAAGGAGAAGGCCCGCAACGCCCGCGACCGCAAGGCCGGCAAGGAAGTCGCCGACAAGCAGTAAGCGACCACTTGCGTCGTCCCTGCGATTACACCACCCTGCTAAGACACAATACAGCTCTTGAGCAAAAATCAGGTCTTATTGCATCGCAGCAGCGCCGTCCAAAAAGCAGAATCCGCCACACGCTGGAGCTTGACCCCATGTGCGATCTCTGGCGAACGATAAGCGCATGCAAAAGTGCCACGTACTCTGCGCCACGATTGCACGTGCGTGCGGCTGACACTGCAGCTTGTCGACGAGGTGGCGGTCACCACTCCATTATATATGTAGTACGCACGCAAGCCCACCAGGATTTTGGGCCAACAAGATGCTTCTTATGGACCCTTGCCATGGTGACCACAAGGGACAGCAACCTTTGAGAAGACAACAATAATAAGTGTTGGCATTACGAGTGGGTCGTCGTGCAGCGAGGGCGAAAGGCCATCATACCCGGGCCCTCGGTGCGCGTTAAATAAGCAGCGATTTTGGGATCGCAAAGAATCGTCTTGTAGATGGCTTGGAGCTTCGTGTACTTGTCAAACGGAATGCGCAGGACGTTGCAAAAGCGCAGAAGGACGTTGTGGATCAAGTCGAAGAGGTAGACATCGAGCCAGGAGATGGTCGAGAAGAAGCTGCCGTCGCCCACTGCTTCGGCCTCGAAGTGCTCGAGCAGCTGCGGAATCCGCCGTCGCGCCCGCCGCAGCCGCTTCGCGCGCAGTACGGCGCAGCCGTCCATGTACAGCACCACGAGCAACGTGACCATCGTGTCGTGGACGAGGCCTGCGAAGTGGTCGATGCGAAAGGCATCTAGCGCGTCGTCCGGGTAGAGGCCGACGCGCTTGGCGGCGTAGCGCGCGATCGCGAGGCTGCAGCCATACGTCTCGCCCTGGACTTCGAGCGTCGGGAGCGATCCAAACGGCAGGCGCAGCTTGGGCTTAAGGTGCGGATACAGCGCCTTGGGAATGCGCTTGTCTTGGAAAGGCACGTCGCCGATGGTAAAGAGGAGCCGCGTGATCTCGGCGCGGCCAGGGATGTCAAAGTACCGCAGCACGAGGCCACCGGCGTCCGTCATCTGCGCGCGGGTCCAGTTGTTGAGCAATGGTCGTCGACTAGCCGCCGTAGCCGGCTCGTTCGTTCCTTCTGGCCTTCATGCGAATTCCGAAGCTGGCCGCGACGGACTGCATTTTATCCAATCACAACACATGACGGGCACGTGCCGAAAATAACAGCCGTGCACAACTTGTCGTCGGTGGCCGCGACGGGTGCGCAACGTGGCCACGCCGACGTGTGTCCAACGATCTGCGTACGAATGTGCCATTTGGTGATTTGGTGTGGCGAGCAGTGTGTGGTAGCAATGACTCTAGGATGCAAGCGGATGCGTCGACCGCTCACCACGTCATGTTTTAAGTTGTTGAAGTTGATGTTGGAACGGAGAAGCGGCCGTGGGTTGATAGACGACCAAGTACTGTACCATTAGTTCCAGGTATATTAGGGAACGAGAGCTTGCGGGGTTGTAGCTTATGAGACCAGACTATTACCGTCAATTGAGAGCCATGAGGGCTGGTGTGCGACGGTTCGCTTTGCCACCCGTTGGTCGCAGCATGGCAAGTTCGCGCGAAGACGAGTGCTTTGGTAGCGAGTTATGGTAGCGTGGACAGCGCACTCTCGACGTCAACTGAAGACCACTGCGAATACCTTGTGGTGACGATGATGGAAGCCCACAGCGTTTTGATTGCGAGACGCCCGCCAAGGCGGCGGCCCACGAACGACCACCCCAACCACAACTTGACCACGAACGACCACCCCAACCACAACTTGATTACGCCACGCCAATATCGGCATATGCCGAATATATCACCGAACCGGCCACGGTGACGGTCCATGAAGCGCCAGCGACCATCCGACGCCGAGACGTCGTTGCTCTGCATCTTCATCTTTCTCGACGTCCCGTCGCTCTCTCATGCAGCGCTCGTGGCCAAGGGCTGGGCGAGCGCCGTCCGCTGCCTCCACGCGCAGCGTCGCGCCGACCTCTCGAGCGGCGGCGAGCCGCGGCCTGTGGTGGTGCGTGGCGCCGCCGGGTACCCGTCTGGCTTTGCGTACCGCGCCTCGACGCGTCTGCCTGCTGGCCACGACTGGCCGATGGATGCCACGCGGACGATCGATGTCTACGTGACCAAGCACGCGGCCAAAGGCTGGGCGCTCCACGCTGCACATCCGATCGCGCCCGGCGCGTACCTCGGCGAGTACGCTGGCGACATGGTGCGCACAGGCGACATGGACCGCGCGTCAACGTACATTGTCAGCGTCCGCGAAGAGGCGAGCGACCGCGTGCTGCGCACCAACGTCGACGCCGGTCGCGTCGGCAACTTCACACGCTTCATCAACCACGCCTGTTGGCCGAATGCGATTCTGGATACGTATCGCCGACCCGATCTGCGCTGCGTGCTGCCACGGCTCCAGATTCGTGCGCTGCGACAGATTGAAAGCGATCAAGAAATCACGATCGACTATGGCGTCGCCAGCGGCGTCGGTCACACGGTGTGCCACTGCGGCAGTGCCAACTGCGCCGGCCGCCTCCCGTTTGACGCAAGCCTGTAGTACAGCGTGTATCAAGCGTTGAAATCATCGCCTTGATTCCTTATTGACATTCTAGCTTTTGAGGACAGGGTCGACCAGGCGGGTCCAACCTTTGTTCGTCGGTTCGCGCATCTGAACCAACTGCCATGGAGAGAAAGACGCGCATGCGCTTGCATACATGTGTAGTATGTCGCAGTGCAGAGCAAAAGCGATGACGGAAGACCCGTGCTTCCTACCGTCGAGTGATTTGGAGATCAAGCCACTGTATCTTGCAAGTGCAATCTGCACCTTCCAAAGCAGCACATTCTGTATTGAATCCAAGAGAGAGACAAGATGGCTGCGGCTCTAGGCCACGATCGTTGCGGTCGATGCAAAGTACGTCGACAAGTCGCTTAGCGCAACGACTTGCTGGCGGCGTTCGAGGAGGTGCTTGACGGTCGCTTGCGCCTGCGTCAGCTCGTCTTCGCCAAGCAGCACCGCATACGCGCACTGGAACCCGTCGGCCATCTAATGTCCGACACCTCATTGTCCTCCACACACTATTTCAGCACTCGTACCTTCATTTGCTTTTTCATGCTCGCGCCATCGCAAAAATGCACAATGTGTCCGGCATCGCGCAGCGTCTGTCCACGAGCATCATGACAAGATGTACACAGATGAAGACACGATTGTACCTTGGTGACGCGCAACGCGTGGTCCCGGACGGCCGACGCATCACCCGACGCGATCGGCACCACCTACTCGGGGATATCAACCGCCGCAATCGACAGAAAAAGCGGATTCAGACCGCAATTGTGCTGGGTGATGGCGGTGTCATATCGCTCAGCAGACAGAGCCGCTCGACACCGGCTGCCCACCCTAGTAGCCAAAAAAACGTACGTAAATAAGAGCTCTTATCGGCGACGACGGGACGAACCGACGCAGGCCGTGGGCGGACCACCGAGTGTAGCTACCAAGTCGTCGTAGCAGCCGCCAGCCAGCACCGCAATGCCCTTGGCGCCTGTCTCGGGCTTGAGCTCCACAAACTCAAATACGGTGTGGCTGTAGTAATCCTAGTTGAATGTTGAACCATCATGAAAAGGATGGAGCAGAGTGGGAATTGAACCCACGACGTACGAGCCCACGCACGAGACCGTCGTTGAGGTGCGAGTTGATGTTGAGGGCGGCCAAGTGGCTCTGGACGGCGTCGAAACGCTAGAATGACGTGTTGGTACCATGGTGGTCTCGACAAGTGTACCTTGCGCGCGTCGTCCGAGAGGTGCTGGTGCAGACGCGGCGCGGACGCGAGAATGCGCTGGTCGTTCTCGCACTTGGAGTCGAGGATACGAAGGACACTACCGCGCTCGAGGCTACAAACATTGACTAGTTTGTGGGAGACGACCGTTGCCGGTACCGTTGCTGGCTGTCGACAGAGAGCTCGTTCTGGTACTGCGCCAAGAAGGCTTCCAGCACCTTTCGGTAGCGCTGCCGACTAGCCACATAAGATCAAAGGGACTGCGTGGCGCCAAAAAAAAGCGAGGTACCTGTCGTGGCAGCCGAGCGTGTTGATCTCGAGCGAAACGCGGTCGGCGAGGCCCAAGCGCGCGAGGCTGTCGCGTGCGAGCGCAATCACTTCGACGTCGGTTGTCGGGCCCGCCGAGCCAATGTGCTCGACCCCAAACTGCTGGAACTCGCGGTACCGGCCGCGCTGCGGCCGCTCGTACCTGCATCCATCGTCATTTAGGAGCCTCACGTTCGCGCGTACCGAAACATGCTGCCGTGGTAGAAGACCTTGTGCGGCCCATTGTACTGGAGACCACTGCTGATCATCGAGCGAATGACGCCTAGGCTCGCGAACGTGAGCCTCGATGGCGCGCCAACAGGCCTTTCTACCGGCGGTGCCTTCGGGCCGAAGCGTCAAGCTGTTCTGCGAGTTGTCTTGAAACGTGTACATTTCCTAGAGACAGCGATTCGCTGCTTGCGATAAGATGGCGATCCGCGCACCTTCATGACAATGTCGGAGCCGTCGCCGAGCGACCGATGGAAGAGGTCCGTGGGCTCGATCGTCGGCGTCTGGACCGGCGCAAAGCCGTAGCGCTTGGCCGTCGACGCCAGCGCGCTCGTCACATGCAGCTGCTTCTGCAGCTCTGTCGGCCAGAGGTCCCGTGTCCCGCGCACGCCGGCGAGCACCTTCTTGGCTTGCTTCATCCTGCGACTTGGACGATTGGTGCCTGTCTTGCCTGTGATTGGACAAATTTCTATCTCATGGTCTGTTAAATAGTGTGTGACGTATGAGATAGTGTATGACCGAACTGGAGACGGTATCCCTCCCACACATGCCTCGAGGCCATGCAAGATACTCATACTAGTGGATAGATAGATAGATAGGACGTTCATTCAAATTTGGTCTGACAATGTGAATACGGGTAGGTAGCGCTGGCTTCGATCCCGCAGTGTCAATCTTGTTGCTTGAATCATGACGACAGGACGAGTGATCGTCTACTCCGTTGGGTTCCAGACGACAAATGTGGATCTGTGCTGACATTATTAGAGTCGATACTCGCTAGGTCTTGAGTTGGACTCTATCGTGCAGTGCACTAATAGAAACTATACCAAGGGGATGGGACCAGCAGGACAATAAACTCCGTCCAGCGACACGACGAAAGAACGGTGATGCGATGACGTCGACTCAACCAGCAACACATCTCGACAAACTCCATCGTCATTCATCAGAGATGCTTGCAACCGAGACGGCCCTCTATGCCTTGGGGGTGATGATGTTTCTCACGTTTCCAGCGCCGTATCTTCTCGCCTCTCTCTACACGCTCTGCACCGGCATGGACGCCATCTCGCGCGTCTCGTGGTCCAAGCGCATTGCACCAACGCGCTCGCAACGCTCCACGCGTCGATGGCCCACCACTTGGCTCGCAGCCGGTCAAGCTCCAGCTACTTTTTTTACTCTGCGCGACCTGGTATGTGGTTCACTTGGTCGCTGACCTCCCATCGTACCATGTCGAAATTGGCGTCTTGGTCCTCTGCACGCCGCTCGCCTGCGACAGCCTACCACAGCTTCTTACACCGGCGCATGGAGCTTGAACGGATGCAGTGGGTCGTTGTGCGCGACTCGATGACCAAAGTTCAGTCGGCAGACCAGACGGCACGCAACGACATGACGAAGACCGAGACCACCTAACCGAGTTAGCCCAGAAGAAAAGACCGATAAGAATCAACTACGTTGCCGTGCAACGAGTCCTTGCCCGTGAGCAGGCAGGCAAGCTACATGTACTACCATCATGCCATGCGCATCGGTAGCCAAAGGACCGTTGTCGTGGTGCTTGCAGCCGCCCGATGGCCCCGAACTCGTTCTCTTGCTTTGGGACACGGTGGTCGCCCTTCCGGGACGAGCGATACGACAACGCGACACACGATCGCGTGCAAGCGCTGGGGTGCCTCCTGCAGCTCCAAGCACGCATCGTAGCCGACACCATCGCGGTTTGGCAACCGGTTGCCCTCAACGCTACTCGCCAGCATCCACCAGTTTGTCGCTGCGCCCGTCACGATGGTCTCGATCGTGCAGCGTTTTCGCACCGCCATGGACCTGCGTTGGTGCTGATTCCATTCGCCCGGAACGTTGACAACGTAGCATCGTTCTTGCACGCCGTGCTTGCTTCGATGGAGTCGTGCGACCTCGCCTTTGATGTCGCATGTGATGCAGGGTCGCGACCGCACGCAGCAGCATCCTCGATCTATGGTAGTAGTACATAAATGCAATATTGCCTTTATTGATGCACTGGTGCGCGCACTGCACAAATGACTGGAATGCACAGTTGTTGATGCGAGTGCGATTGCGAATCTCTTCATGGGCTACACCACGTGCCTCGTTGACAAGAGCTCATTGGCTCGTCGTGCGGCGGTGAGGCTAACTACGACCGGCGGACGGACGACAACTATACGCCACCGACAAACGCCATGCACGCGGTGCTGCTGGTTCTGGACCGCCTCTCGCCACCGCACGTATCGTGTTGCCGACCGTGTGGACAAGGTTGTCAGTGACAATGAGGACGACGACATGCGAATCTAGTACCACACCCGACGTGTCGTGCTCTACCCGACGATTCGTTTCTTGGATGCCAAGTTCCCGAAAACGTATGCATCAAATTGCGAGGCGCTGTGGTTCTTCCGATGCTCACGGCGGCGGCGGCGGTCGCGTGCGGCCGCGTCTACTGTACGGGCACGGAAGAGGCCCGCGGCTGGCGGACTCCATGCGATGAGCGGAAGCGCGATACGGTGCGCCTTGTGTATCTCGACGAAAAACCATCGACCACCACAAGCGAGCTGCGGCGCCGTGGACGGCTGGCACCAAGCGGGCCAAGACAGAGCAGAATGAGTCCACAGCTCTCCTTTCTCACGAGAAAGAGTGCCTCTATCGCACGATGGTGACGTATGAGTTCACTCCATTTTTTAGTTCACTCACATGCATTGGATGTGATGGTGTTGCCCTGGTGACGTGACGTCGTCGATTTGGGACTAGCACGTCACTTGATGGAGCCACCACATTCAAAAAGATCATGTGCAGCTGTCACGACTGCTGGAGATGAGACGCCTTGTCGTCGGCGTGGATGTAAAAATGACACCAAAAATGCTGTCGCTGCATGCTGCCACGTCATAGCGTTTACCACCGAAATCAGCAAAAATAGCAAAAAATGGACTAATCGGAACGACTAACTAAACGAACCGATGCACCAACTAGGCAATGTGGTCATCGGGGTGGAGGCGGCGGTGGCGAAACCATTGGCACTTTTTTAGGCATTTCTGGAACGACCGCTGCAGCGCGAGAAACGAAATGAGCGTGCACATGGCCATGAAGAGGATAAACTTGTACTGCATGCCCGTGTAGATTTGCTGCTCGTGCTCACGCCGGTAGTGTTCCTTGTGGCGCTCGAGCTCCGCCGCACCCATCGGTGCGGACGACAGAAACGCTTGCAATTGGGACGCACAGGCCGTCATGCCATCGCACGCGAGCTGCGTCGTGTTGCCGTCGATGCTGTAGATCGTGATCTCGGCCGTCGCTTCGGTCGCGCACCGGTCGGCGATGTGGTGCACGCAGGACGCGAGCTCTTGGAGCCCAAAGCCATCGCGGACGCACGTCATGGACGGCGGCGGGCAGTCGACGAGGAAGGGCGTGAGCCGGTTCGTCTGGTCCTCCGAGCCACCGCGGACATTATTTGTGGCCGGCGCGTAGGCGTTGTATGTTGGAAAAAGATGTGTCCGACGAAATGCACAAACATCGTGAGGCAGAACGCGAGCTGGACGATGCTCCAGAGAAGCCCGCACGACTTGGCGACCGGTGGGCCGACGTCGTCGCCGCTGTGGCTCCGGCGTCGGTGGTCGTGGCGGCGGCACGGTGGCATGGGCACGACTGTTGTTGCGTCCTGCGATGCGGATGTGGCGGGCGTGCTCGCAGGCGGTGGTCCATTCGGATACTTGAGGTCGACGGGAATGCGAGGCGGTCGCTTCCGGCCGACGACTGGCGCCGCGTTGCGCTGCGGCGAAAAGTACGTTTGATACCGGGGCACTTCTGTCATCGGCGGCGCCGACGGCGTCGGGAGGAGCACGTCGAGGAGCTCGGCGTCGTCGTCGTCGTCCATGAGTGTATTCCAGAGCGTGGCCTCGGTTGACGGCGGCGCAAAGTCGTACGTGCTGTTGGTGATGAGGTCGAGCACCTCGTTTTGAAAGAGCGCATCGATGTAAAGCGACTCGTCGTCGTCCTTCCAGTCGGGCGTCGAGGCGGCCGCCAGCAGTTGCCGCTTGGTGCGGCCAGCTTCTTCGTCCGACGACGGCGACGACGGCGCAGTCACCGACGACGATGGCGAGTGTGGCCGCTTCTTGGCGACAACAATGGGCACGACGGGCGACTCGGTCTTGGAGCGGCGTCGACAGTGGACCGTGAACGGCGGTGACGCGAGCGAGTCGACGCATTGCCCAAACGTCTCGCTGACTTCTTCAAGGACATGCACGCAGAGAACGTGTTCGCGGTCCGACGTGTGCTTGTTGCTCATCCAGCCGTAGTGCCAGCCCTTCTTGGCCGGGTTGAAGTAGTACGACGTCTGCATGGAGTGGCCGGCAAAGTAGGGCAACAGCGGGTCTGCGTCCTTGTTGGCCTGCGCGCGGAGCGTCTCGAGCGCATACATGTGGCCGATCGAGAGCGTACTCTGCGGCGCGCCCTTGAAGACCGGCACGAACTCGGCGAGGAGGAGGTACGACTTGGTCGCGTCGGATGCGTCGAGGTGCACGGCGACTGGCCCGCCGCAGAAGCCCGTGGCCGCGTGCAGCCCGTTGCAGCAGTTCGGAAAGCAGCGCAGGTTCTTCTGCCCGCCCTTCTTGTTGTTGCGCTGGTATGTTGGCCGGAAGACCGCGGTCGCATCGAAGCGGACGAGCCCGGGCGACGAGGCCATGCTGGACTTGCAATTTGCACACAAATTCAGACCACGAGGGTCCGTGGTAAGTTTGGCATCTGCCGAATTGAATTTGCCGGCACGAGATTGGCCGGCGTCGCGAATATTGCCCAATCATCGACGGGAATGGCGGCAGGGCACGCGTCCGCCCACCAACGTATGCGCCGCGTCCTTCGCACCATGGCCGATGTAGCACCAAGGCGCCGAGCCCAAGCACTTGGGTGCATCTAGGATAGTGCGGTAGGTGTGTAGGCCAAGCGTGCTTTGCAGCAGCGACGTCGGTGCCTGCAACGAATGAGTAGGCAGGTGGGCGACCGACATTCCGACAAATGTGCTCGTCGATGACCATCATTGTGGCTCCTTGAGAATTACACTTTCGCAGTGTTTGCTTCCCGCGCGAAAAATGTATGGGTAGTTCTGCGCACCGCGCATTTCGCCATCACCACTATTTGAACACTACATGCATAGTCAGACCTATAGATATGAGTAGGACGAGGCGGACGCAACATCAAGAACTGTCCGTCTCGGGTGCTAATAGCCTGTAAGAGGACCTCGTGTCTCTGCAGTCATTGAGGTAGAATCTGACCGACGTAGATCACGTGTCCCATTGCTCTGGGTGCTTCTATACGCGGCGCAGACGTTGCGCATAGCGCTTTCTAATAGCATCCGAGTGATTGTACAGATACGCACGGGATCGAACTCCAACACCAGGCATATTATAAATGCAACTAGAACTTATTTTTCATAGCTGTACTATCACACCTCTCTCTTTATTCCATGCATCCCTTTAGAAATCTATTGTACGGTCAGGTTAGGGGTACATACTAGCTATTCTTCACCCCTGGTCGCGTGCGTGGTCGTTCTCCGTTGTGGATGTTTGGATCAGTCCTACTTTTCGAAGGTTCCGAATAGTTTGCGGCATATGCCAAACTTATGAAGACGCGATGGGATTGGCGGAAAAAGCCAGCGATATAGGCCAATCGGTAGCGGGCTGGCAGTGGCAAACCTGCGGCTTCCATCCGACTGCTTGCACCATGTTCTTCCTCAAGCAGCTCCGCCGGGAGCTCCTCCTGCACCCGATGCACTTTGGCCCGAAGCTCCATGACATCATCCGCCTGCGCCTCATCGAGGAGGTCG